GGGGGCTTGAATATTTTATTGAAGGTCTGTTATGTACATTGAATAACAGCGATGGGCAAATTGACCCCGTGGTGGTTCTAGTGTTAAACAATGCAAACTAAAAGCAGTCAGAGAACGAATCATTCATGAATTTGAAATGGATTATTCTTTTGAGGGGAATCATCTCACACACACACACAAACACACACACACACACACACACACACACACACACCTGCTCTTTGGTTTTGCTCTCTCTCTCTCTGACGTGTGTGGTGACTATTCTCTCCGTCTCTTCTCTCAGCCTAGGATACGAGTTCAGCTGTAACACAAAACAACCCTTAGAGCTGCTAACACACACACACACACACACACACACACACACACACACACACACACACGCACACACGCACACACGCACACACGCGCACACGCGCACACGCGCACACACACACACACACTTCTATATCCCAGTGGGGACTCTCAAAGATGTAATGATGTTTCCACTGTACAGACTGTACATGTTTCCCTTCCCCTCAACCCAAACAATCTGCATTTTTACTTGTTCAAAACATTCGTTCTGTCTGATTTATGAGCCGTTTCCTATTGACACGTCAACTTTGGTCCCCATGAGTCTGTGTGCATTCAGGTTTAAGTCCCCACTGGGATATAAATAAGAGTACACCCTGACACACACACTCACAGATGTTGGTTTTGGTGGTTTATGAGGACTGTAATTGACTGTGATGTATTGTATGCTGTAGAAGCCACTTATTATATGGCCCCGTCCCTAAACCCAAGCCTCATACAAACCTTGTGGACAATTCTGAAAGTCAAAAGACCTCATTAAATATGATTTAATTACGAGGAAACAGAACATTTACACAAAAACAGCTTAATAGAGTACAGTTGGGTCAAACCCATGTCACTAAACAAATTAGTGTCCTCGTAAACCACATAAACACACACACACTCATTTGGTGCACTCAGAGGTTAGTCTGATATGATGCAAACTCGATCACCACAGAGCAAAAATAGCACAGGCCAAACCTCACCCACAAAGACTGGATTTGATTGGTTAAAGGAACTGTCAATCAAAGAGTGTTCGGCTACAGGACTGAATTTGAATGGTTAAGACATGTGTCAATCAGGGCATATTTGGTGGCAGGACTGGATTTGAGTGGTTAAAGAATCTGTCAATCAAAACTGTTCAGTTAGAGGACTGAATTTGATTGGTTAAGGGAACTGTCAATCAAAGTACTTCAGTTAGAGGAATGGATTTGATTGGTTAAGGGATTGGTCAATCAAAGCTGCTGAGTTAGAGGACTGGATTTGATTGGTTAAGGGATCTGTTAGCCAGAATGGGTCACGTTCTACCTTTTCAGTGCCCTTGTGGATGAGTGTGGCGAGTTCAGACACCACCAGGTCTACACACTTGAGGCAGGGCTCCTTCAGTTTAACAATCTGCTGTTTCACGATGGCCTCGAAGGCCAGATCAGGGGTGAAGAGCCCTGTCCTGGAGGATCATGGGACAGCGCGGGGTTATTTAGGGCGAGAGGGCCACAACATTGGGAAAAGCAGACAGGTGGAGGAAAACAGAGCAGGAAGGAAACAGAAGCTCTTTCATTCTGTACTTCCTCTTTAATAAATGTGCTGCACTGCATATTATTAGGTTATATGTTATCCTTATGAACGTTAAATACCACTGCGCAAGTGTGTGTGCCTCAGTAAAGCTGATTTTTAGGCCACAATGAGCATCAAGTGTTTCTTTCAATATTCACATTTCAAAATGATTGGTTGATTTCACTTTACTGAAAACCGCCTTGTAATGTCTTATTAACTGCCTTTAGTGTTTAATGTCGAAGCTGATCTGATGTGCAGCTATGTAAACGTGAGTTTGTCTGTACATTACAGTTTTTCGGGACAGAAGCAGCTCAGTTGGAGGCCTGTAGTGTTTTTGCTTTCAGTAGAATTAATTAGCGTGGTCAGACACTGAACTCAAGCACAAGCGCGGTCAGACACTGCATTAATTGTAAGAGCGATTAGACACTAGACTCCAGCATAAGCGCAATCAAAAACTGGACTCGGATGTATGCGTTGTCAGATAATGGATTTAATTGTAAGTGCAATCAGACACTGAACTCCGGAGTAAGAGTGATCAGACACTAGACTCCGGTGTAAGTGCAATCAGACACTAAACTCTGGTGTAAGTGCAATCAGACACTAAACTCCGGTGTAAGTGCAATCAGACACTAAACTCCGGTGTAAGTAAAATCAGACACTAAACTCCGGTGTAAGTGCAATCAGACACTAAACTCTGGTGTAAGTGCAATCAGACACTAAACTCTGGTGTAAGTGCAATCAGACACTAAACTCCGGTGTAAGTGCAATCAGACACTAAACTCTGGTGTAAGTGCAATCAGACACTAAACTCTGGTGTAAGTGCAATCAGACACTAGACTTTGGTGTAAGTTCAATCAGACACTAAACTCCGGCGTAAGTGCAATCAGACACTAAACTCTGGTGTAAGTGCAATCAGACACTAAACTCTGGTGTAAGTGCAATCAGACACTAGACTTTGGTGTAAGTGCAATCAGACACTAAACTCCGGCGTAAGTGCAATCAGACACTAAACTCTGGTGTAAGTGCAATCAGACACTAGACTTTGGTGTAAGTGCAATCAGACACTAAACTCTGGTGTAAGTTCAATCAGACACTAGACTTCGATGTAAGTGCAATCAGACACTAAACTCCGGTGTAAGTGCAATCAGACACTAAACTCTGGTGTAAGTGCAATCAGACACTAAACTCCGGTGTAAGTGCAATCAGACACTAAACTCTGGTGTAAGTGCAATCAGACACTAAACTCTGGTGTAAGTGCAATCAGACACTAGACTTCGGTGTAAGTGCAATCAGACACTGGACTCCAGTGTAAGTGCAATCAGACACTAGACTCTGGTGTAAGTTCAATCAGACACTAAACTCCGGTTTAAGTGCAATCAGACACTAAACTCCGGTGTAAGTGCAATCAGACACTAGACTCTGGTGTAAATGCATTTGGACACTGGACTCTGGTGTAAATGCAATCAGACACTGGACTCCAGTGTAAGTGCAGTCAAACATTGGTCTCAAACGTATGCAGGATCAGACACTGGACTCCGTTGTAAGTGCGATCCGACACTGGCCTCTGCTGTAAGTGCACTCAGACACTGGACTCGAACATATGCAGGGTCAGACACTGGATTTAATTGTATGTGCAATCAGACACTGGACTTGACTATATCAAGTGTTAGCATGGTCAGACAGCGAACTCCAGCATTAGCATTACTCCTCTACCTTCAGTGTGCACTGCCTGACCGTGTTGATCAGCTCCTGGATGACCAGGTCGATGCACTTGAGGCACGGCTCCTTCAGCTTTATCAACTGCTTTTTCACGATGGCCTCGAAGGCCAGATCTGGGGTGAAGAGCCCCGTCCTGAGGTCACACACACACACACACACACACACAAAACAACACACACACTAAATATAGTTTTGAAAGAAAAGGCAGAAGTAAAGATGACTTGACACACACACAACATACTCACCACACACAAAATACCGACAACATAAACAGACAGACAACATACATGCACACACACATACACACAAAAACCACAACACAACACACACAGCAAAAAAAGCACGATTCCTCAGGTTCACAGACTAATTACACTGATTAGCATGTGTGTGTTTACAGTGTGTGAGCACTTGCCTGACTCCGTGAATGTTCTTGATGGCGTAACTGATCTCCCTCCGCAACTCCTTTTCATCAAACTCCATCTGAAACACACACACGCACACAAACAAACAAACAAACACACACACACACACACACACACACACACACACACACACACACACACACACACACACACACACACACACAC